CGCTTCGGTTCCTCCATGTCGTTCTTTCGAGGTGTCCCTCCTTGGGGCTTTATCCTTCATTTTCTTCCTGTTCACACCTCTTTGAGGGAGCCTTATGATTTTCGTTTGCGTTTTGACTTTGACCACACCCTAGGCTTTCCGGGAGAGGGTCCTGTCTATCCCCAGCCATGGTCGATTGCCACGATCAATATCGGGTCCCTCAAGACTTCCACTGTCTGGAGAACGTGCGAGGCCAATGTCACCTGTTTACAGGAAACGCGCATCGGCACTTATGGTTTACATCATGCCTCCAAAACTGTTGAGCAACAGGGAACGTGCCTCTTCCATGGGCGTCCTCTCCCCGGGTTGTTGTCCACGCATGGAGTGACGAGAACTCCTCACGGAGGCGTTGCCATCCTTGCTGCCAGAGAACTTGCCACAGAATTTCGACCACAAGAAGATGCCACTGGGCTTTACGACCAGCTCTACGCAACACGACGGGTCACTGCCTGCTGGGTTCAGGTTCAACCCACACTCAAACTGCTGGCCTTCTCCTTCTATGGTAAAACGGGTGCTTCTGCCGACAAAGCAATTTTGGAATTTAATGACAACATCCTCAGGGACATCTTTACAGTTGCGAGCCAATTTGGCGAGGTTCCGATTGTCATTGCTGGTGATTTTCAAGTTGCACCTGAGCACTACACAGCAGTTACGCATGCTGTTCACTATCATCAGTGGTGTGATGTTTTGCAGTCTGCGGACGACGATGGAGGGTTTAGACCACTTACCTTTTCATCCAATGGGTGCTTCACTGGCCCTGGAGACGGATGCAGTAGCATTGATGGGATCATCACTAACTCTGTTGCATCAGCAGCTCTTACAAATGCCGAGGTCTTGCCGTACCACCGTGTCCAACATCGGCCTGTTCGCGCCTCGTTCAATTGGAAGGTTATTTGGCAAAGGGGTCATACCTTGTTCAAACCTGCCCCCCTTTACCTTTCCACCATCCTTTTCGACTGACACCATGTGTGAGGATGTTTCCAGCTTGCATCATCTTACAGATGTTAACCAAATTTGGTCTGAAGCCAATCGGCAATGTGTGGATACCCTCACCCAGGCAGGTGCAGCCTGGGGGTCTGGCCCCAAACAAAGAGGAGTTCTTGTTCAAGCACGCCCCAAAAATGTTTGCCCAGGTCAGTGTCGCTCAGGCGCTGCCACGACCACACGCAGTTCTTGGCTCATTAATGCTTTGAAAAGCCTTTTAGAGATCCAGGCATTTCATTCACAAGAGATTTCTTCGGGGGTCAGGCATGTCATTGCTTGGAGAACCATTGTTAAAGCTTGGACTAGATTGTTCAAGCTGCGAGCACCTTGCTTGTGGCCCTGTCACTCATGGCCAACCCTGGTTGAGATCACCGCTGCAATCCAATGGACCCAAGATGCACTTGCCACTTATGAGATCAAACTTAAGCTCCGGCGCATCCAGCGTTGGAAAGAAAAGATTCAAGATTCAGCGCGTATTGGGTCTGCCTTTGTCTATAGGCATTTGAAGAACAAAACAACCGAAGAGCCGCCGAACCTCGTCACCGATTGTTCGGGTAATATCATTGCGGCTCCTGCAGATGCCATTGCGGAAATCAACTCCCAGTGGGATGAGGTTTACAGCGTTAATCTCGGTTTTCCTCACCCCTTGAAAATGTTGGAAATTGTTTGGCCTCACATCCATCATTTCGCGGTTGATTACCCCGTGCCCAACATTTCTGCCAGGGCCCTTCAGGACGTTGTTAGATGCCGTAGGAAAGATGCTGCCCCCGGCCTCGATGGCTGGCGAACCATTGAAATGCAGGTGCTGCCCGAATCTTGTTTCGAACCCTTCGCCCACATGTTTCGCCTCATTGAAGACACCAATGCAGGTCTTCCCAAGATGCTCGCTACGGCCAAGCAGATCATTCTCAACAAAAACGGAAGTTCCGAACCGTTACAAAAGAGACTGATCACGTTGTTGCCGGTCATACTACTCGCCTACACAGGCGCTCGTTTTCGACACTTGCGTGGCTGGCAAATGCAGGCGATGCCTCAGCAACTCCAAGGTGGCATCCCTTCTAGGCAGATGTCCGCGATCCATACCAACTTGGCCCTTACGGTTGAGCAGGCCAAATCCAAGGGTACGCCGCTAATTGGCATAAAAATCGACAAGGCCAAGTGTTTTGACCGCATCATCCCCCAATACGCTGGGGCTCTCATGCTTGCCTTCGGGGTCGCTAAGTCCATAGTTGCAGTGTTTCTCAAACTGTATGATCAACTTGATAAGCACTTGCAATTTAAATCATGGTTCGCACCTCAGCCTACGCATAGCCCCAACGGGGTGGCTCAGGGTTGTTCGCTATCCCTGGTGGCGATCAATGTCCACATGAAAGTTTGGGTTCACTTGTTAGCTGTCCTCCCTGAGGTAACGGCCCAAGCGTTCGTTGACGATGCTTACCTATGGGTCAAGCTATTACACCAGAGCAAACTCAACCTCGCCATCCAGATCACACAGGCATGGGACGATTTGGTAGGTCAAGCCATGAATTGGAGTAAGTGCACAGTGTGGGGATCCACGGCGGCGGCCCGTAAATCTGTCCGCTCCTTGTTCCCTCAAATGCAATTTGCCCTGGAACTTGAGGTGCTTGGGGTTCAGATTCAAACCAGTGATAAGCTTACTACCCATTTTGGCGAAAAGAAACTTGCCAAGATCATTGCTGACATCAAGAATATTGCTGTTTTGCCCATCCCTTTGCGCCAGAAAGCACGTCTCTTAGGGGCCAAGGTCATTCCCCAATGTTCGTACGTAGCAGCTTTGAACCAGATCCCTGCCCGCATGATTGCGCGTATTCAAGCTGAGATTGTCAATGTTTTTTGGCACAAGAGACCTCACTGGAGATCAAGGTTCCTGGCGCTGGCCTTGCTCACGCAGCCACACCGTGTCGACCCAGTTTGCGCTCGCCATTACAATGTCATTCTTGATTGCTATAGATACCTGCAAATGTTTCCAAATGAGCAACCTCGGTTCCGTGCTCTTTTGGCCAACGATTGTCATCAACGTGCCACCATTACCCAGTCTTTTCGCCAAGCCTTTCGGTTCTTTAGTTTTGACCTTGATCCGTCCGGTCTTATCTCGTTTCGTGGTCGGCCAATAGTTGATTTTTTGGCATTGTCCCTCAAGGATGTCAAGCCCATGTTGAAGCAAATGGCAGTGCAGGCGTGCTACGCCCAAGCTTCGCTGCAATCCAGGAAAGACTTGCAAGCACCTGCTGGCGTCATTGACCCGCATTTAACATGCCGTTTTCCCCAGGGCTCACCCACCGAAGCCTCCACCGAGGATATTCCCTTGCATGCTTACTTTGAGGCTCAACTCGTAGGTTGTGTTCTTACCAATGACCGATTAGCCGCAGCCAAGTTAGTTGATGAACCCAAATGTCGCATGTGTCATGCTGCCAAAGAGTCTCTACCCCACCTTGTCAGAGAATGTCCGGGCATTTTGAGTGACAACCCTCCGCCGGTCACCCATGATCTTGGTCGGAATTTTGAACTTTTGGGCATTGTCGAGCACCCGTGGTCCGTCTTCCGTGCACGTTGCCGAGTCTCCGACCCCATGAGCGTAGAGACCCCCGTTTGGTCTCCACCTTTTCAGATGCACGAACTTTGGACAGATGGGTCAGTGCAATGGCCTGAGCATTTCCTCATCATGTGTGCTGGGTTTGCCGTAGTAAATTGCATCGGGGATGTCATTTCTTCGGGCCCGGTACACCAATGGGCACTGAGCAGCTACACAGCTGAGTTGTGGGCGGCTCTTGTTGCCTTTAGTGAATCAACTCAGCCAGTGCAGATCAACAGTGATTGCAAAATGCTTGTTGAGCACATTTGCTCATTTGTTCAAACGCACCAAGTTGAATCTAGTTGGCCGCATCAAGCATGGTGGCGTGCCCTTGCCGCCACATGGGAAAAAAGAAAGTGCGTGTGTGAGACACCCCTGGGTGCCAAGTGGATCCCAGCCCACAAACTCGAGTCCATCCCAGAGCATATATATATGATTGATGAAGATATGGCGCGCGCCAATCATTCTACTGTCATTGACATTGTATGCAACCGCAAAGCCGATCATGCTGCTAAGAGGGCGGCACTGAAGCACGCATTGATTGATCCTGCCCTCTATGATACTTTGTGCCGTGCCGTTGAAGGAAGGCATGTTTGGCTGGCTCAACTTTGCAAGCTTTGTGGGCAGGATACCGCTGCCTACACTGAAGAAACCGATAACGAACGCCTTGATGACAACCAACCTGCCCATGTACTGTTTCCTCTACTCCCTTGGGGGGCTCAAGAAAGTGACTACCCTGCGCGTTTTGGGAGTTCTTGGCCCGTGCAACCACCAAGAGGTTGGAAAACAGCCGTAGATGACTGGACTCAATTTGGTTGTTTTATTTCGAGCCTCCATTGGCGTGAACAAGCTGACCTGCGCATTTCTTACAATGAACTCGCCATTCTTTTTGCTTATCGCAAATTCAAGTGTGAGTGCCTCAAAGACGAGTTTTGTACTTATGCACAGCTCACAGGATGGCTCAAAAATGCTTTTGCCGTGTGCCGCCGGCACCATGACCAAAGATTGTTTCCAGGTGAGCATGCTGGACACGTTGCCCACACGTGGGGTAAGTCCATGCCACCAGGCTCCATTTGCGGTGGTCGGCCCTTTTTTTCGGATGCTGAACTGAGTTTCATGGTGGCCATTACAAAGCGCATAGCTGGCTCTTCTATGTCGCAATGGTGCTTCCCCGTCAAGGATCTGTTTGTGTGACTTCCTTTTTGTGTACAGTGGACATTTTCGATGGCCATGCAGTGGAAAGCTGCTGGCTACGCGTGAACCAGATCGGGAGCTGATCGCGCGAGTGAGGTAGAAGAGGTTTTACAATCCAAATCGATCAAATCGGGGTCTCTATGGATCAAGAATCTGCATTAAAGGTAGGTTTTCTGTTGGCGGAGTGCATTCAAGCCGATCCACACCCTATCGCCGACTCCTCCGCCTGCACTGAAAGCTCAACACCAGCCTGGGGCAAGTGCTCAGCTTGTTATCTCGAGTTTCTTCCAACGAGGTGGTTGCTTTACTTCAGATTGTGCCACCTACTATGAACTACAACATAAAGACATATATCGACAGCATCTGTTCAACGAACGGCAAACTACAAGTACAGGGCAGCTGTATACAGTGATTACAGGACATTGTCTGCTGTTCCATGTGCCCTTTGAGCGAAACCAACAATGTGAAGCAAGCAATAGCAACGCAAACAAACACTTGTGTGTGGGATGTGAATCATGCATAAAACACCAATCCCTTGTGAACCAAACACAACTATTGGAACTTCTTCTTGGGGACCCTTGCGCAAGTACAACCCCTATTTGCGTCTCAACCAATCCAATCGGATGACCACTCAAGTCTTTGGGGTTAGCCTGTACTGTCATACAAATACAACAGAACTGTAAAAACTAGTTTCAAGACTGTATCTCATACACCGTCATACACCTCAAAACTGTTATATATATATATAGTTTCAAGACATGTTATAGATTAGGGTAACCATCAATAACCTGTTTCAATAGTTGGAGCTTTGAGGACTGTACCGGACAAAAACTGTGACTCAATAAGACGGTTGATGCATACAACCCGCGGATCCAGGATGTTTTTACATCTCCCCAGGCGTGTTGTTTTCTCTTTTTTATGATGTTTTATTCATTGTTATTCATCAACAGTCATCAACAGTCTACATGATCACTCATGATCTTGTCATATCAATTGCACTCTTTCCACCGGGTGATCGATGACCCGGGAGATGAAGCACCGCACGAACCGGAACCGCGGGAAGCGTCGCCTGCCAGTCTTCGGGATCCTCACTCTGTGGGCGACGGGCCGCCTCGGAGGCGACAGGCCGGTGCCAATCAGCCAACAGAAAAAACAGGAGGTTAGTGCCAACATGTGCCAATAAAACGTGAGGACATTCCAATGTATCGTTTCGGTCATTTCATGTCATTGACGCAAAGTCATTTGTTGGCCAACACAGGCATTTAATTGAAGATTTCGGGACATGCAGGCTAGGCTGATGAATGGCGCAAAAGGATGGTGACCGGTATCTACAGTATAAGTTTATAAAAAAAACTTTCATATGGTAAGGCCAGAATCCGTGATTTTTGAAAAAAAAAGTCAAAAAATAAGTTTAAAAAAAGTCAACCATAGACCACAGCTCGAAAAAATCAAAAAAAGTCCAAAAAAGTCGAAAAAATGTGAACAACAAGTCAAAAGTGCGGCTTTTGTCCTTAACGGATTACTGGAGTCAAGATTTTTTTTTTAAACCTCTGAAATTTTATGATTTGATTTTTTTTTGACTTTGACTTTTGGGATTGACTTTTTTATACTTGTTTTTTGACATTTGTTTTTAATTTGGAAAACAGGCTCTTTCCAATGAACTTTTTTTTAATAAGTATAGGTGGTGGCTGGTGGCTGGTCGATTCAGGCGAGTAAAACGCGTGCGTTCAAGAAAACAATGATCAGGATCAGTCATGAAAAGGCGCAAGAAGGATAGGATCATCAATCATGAAATAGAATCCTATTGCACCTGCCCTTGCCAGGCCTGCAAGAAGAAAAGAAGAAAGCTCGTCACCATGCGCAAGCCTGCCCCATCCAAGCTAACCACCCACCCTTGAACTGCCTTGGCCTTGGCGCGATCTGCCACGCGCTTTCGCGCCTTTGCCTCAAGGCAGAATTCTCTGGAATCTTGGGAGCAAACATGGACTTGAAACAACCGAGTCCTACAAATTCTCTGGGACTCCAACACTGGACTTAACTTAATGGTTTGGGCAAACACAATATATACGACGTGTTTTTTGATAATGGTTTTACATGGCTTTACACACCAACTTGGAGGGAATATTGATCAACAGTCTACATATTCCGCAAAAACTCAACCACCGTGCGCCGATGTCGCCACATCTCAAAGGGCACCAGTTTGCAACAGCTTCGGATCTTTGAAATGGCCAGTCTCCCAGAGGGCAAAAAGGTACACTCCCTGGAATGATCCTGCAAGTGGAGTGAAAACCACCGGTTTGTTGTATTCGGAATATATGGTCGTCCAAGGGACCATGTTACACTTCCATGATGTTTCCATTCCACAAAGAATCGTTCCCAACACGAGAGCTGAACTGAATGCACTCGTGGCCAACCTTTTCTGCCGACCCTTCAGGTGGCTTAAAGATTTGGTTATATACAGTGGGAAAGCACTTACCGGAGTGAAGCAATTTAATTTTTTAGGACATGCGTCACAGAGATATTCTGACAGTGGCAGAACAAAGCCTTCGAAGAGAAAGGGCCCCACATCTCAATGGTCCAGGAAGACATACTATCCTATGTAATATAACATCTACAGTGACACCCAGGACCGCATCCCCAAGAAGAGGTGCACCCAAACGTGACTGTTAGGATGGGGAAACATGAGAAAACCCATCATCCAAGAACGGTTTTGCTGGTTGGTTCTCCACTGTTCCTGGGCAGGGGTAGGATTGAAACTTCACCCGCTTTTTCGATATGGTTCACTCTGCGAAGTCCGGTGTGGAGACTAGCGAGACACCCCGCCCCAATGGGTCAATCACTGATCCACTCGCCAGTAGTATAGCTACCAACTCATTCAGGATGTAAAATCGTTCAACACAGTAGTACCGAAGCATGTAGTGGGAGGCGACCGCTTTGACAGCCGCAAGTTGTCCCCACACACTGGGCTTGATTTTGGCACTTCCCATATTTCTTTGGAGGACTTCCTTATCCCCCAAAAAGCACCCAACAAAAACAGGAACTTGAAAGCACCCCTTGGGAGAGACTACACCGACCCGCGGCCATCTCACCATCGACTCCGACTACCCGGCGCGCACTGTGTGGGCGCCTCCGCTTCCAGTAGATCCTTGTCGTCGTCTCGCATCTGCGGCGGAGGCGTGGTCGTCAGGAACGGGCGGCGCAACGGTCGTGGACCTGCGGAACGGTCGACGGTCGTCCGACGGACGCCTGGTTGTAGTTGTGGGCAATGTGCAAGGCATAGGTCACCGAGTATCCCACGAAGACCACCAAGGAGATCACCTCACAGCGGTCGACGTGTGCACCTGCATCTGATGACTCACCCGGCTCACCCGTGGGGAAAGCTGCATGTCATGTCCCGAGTTTCCAGCAAATACCCCAAATTAAGGAAGATGATAGAACCTAATGACAAAATCGGCTAGCTACTCCGAGCGCAAACAGGAATTTCTGTAGATTGACGAGCCTGTGTTGAGTTCCCTGGGACCGGTGGCTCCTGCAAAATTCAGTAAAAATCCATGGAGCTGCGTCATGTGGCGCTGTGTGCATGTGGATATACATACATCATACATGCATGTATGACTGCATGTGTGTTAATCTATATAATAGAATTTTAAAGTCCACATCAGTATAATCCCAAGTTTATCACTACTAAACCTGTGTTTCTATGTTGGTTTGGGTATCTGGGTCTGTGGAACCATTGGTAGCTCAATCCACACGGCATGAGAAACCAATCTGCCTGGAGCTCCCCAACTGCCTTAAGGCAGTTGACGACACCGTTGGATCATGTTGGGTCCCTATTTCAATAAAGTAGCCATACTAGAATAAGATTAACCAATCTCTATATAGTGTCTTCAATGGGTCGATTTTTGTGCGAGAATCAAGGGCAACTGTCAATCCACCGCCTGTTTTCCTGTTTGCGATTGCCAACGGCGATTGCCTATGACCGCAATGCACTTAATTATTATGCAATACATGCAATTCCACCCCCCCAAAAAAAAAACATAAAACAATTTTGACTGGGATTTGGCCGACGGGTCGCTTGAGACAAACCATGACGTCTGGACGGGACGTCCAGGCATTGTGGATGGACGACGTTTCACGCTCCTTGAACGTGATGTGCCCGATCTCTTGTTCATGAACTGTGATATTGTGTGAATCATATTGGTTATATAATGATTTTGTGTACCTCATTCATGTTCTTCTGTCTGTCACTTCTTCTCACATAGCTTGCCCGAAGAGGAGCCTTCGGTGGCACCTTCCGTACCTATCGCCGAACGCACCAGTCGACCCGCCTCAATGGGACCGATGGCCAAGGCCATGATGCAAGTAATGAAGAATGCCAAGCCTCGCCACGCGACCAACCGAAACGCGGTCACCACTTCTGTTTGATCAATCATGGCCTGGCTCAAAAGTTTTGCTCTTCCACAAAACCCTGAGCTCAAACGGTCTCAAACTGCTGTCTCAGCTTCAAACAAAGTCAAAAAGTCCGCAAAACTCCCAAGCCTCAAACTCGCATGTCACATTCACCTGACACTATGGCTTCACCCAATTTCTCCACCTCAAATAAACCAAATCTGCCCATTCTTCACCTGTTTAACGGCTCACCGGCGTCTTGCTCAGCAAAACGTCGCCTGTGATCACCACCAAGACCACTGAGGTCACGATCACCGCCAACCACAGGTCAAAGGTAAAGACCTGCCCGAGCCGAGCGAACGTCACAGCGAGCTGCGCGGCTTGCTGCGCCGGCCGCCCACGTCGTCCGCTTCAACGAAGCTCCGAAGTCGGCACCAATTCAGGTTGTTGCGGCGTCGTGCTCAGCACTCGAAGCTTGACAAGAAGGTCGAGTTGCGCGCTCACGCGCTCACCGCGGTGCTTTTGGATGTTTTTGGTCGTTATATATAACCAGTGAGACAGAACCAATTGGTTGTGGCACCAAGAATTAGCGACCCCATGTTTTGGGGGCATCCAAGTCCTATATTCTGTGAAATGAAATTGCTAACAAGCTGGCACTGCCCAGTTTGGGGTATCTACCATGTCTGTGAAAAAGACGGAAACTTGATTACCTGGTCCATTTTCCAATGCGCAGCTTCTACACTTTTGAGGCCTCGCAGTTTGGAGATCCCATTGGATCCAGTTTCCGCTAGTTAGCTGGTAACCAGTGGTTTCGACCAAAGCATAGACCGAACGAGGGCTTGTACTCGTGGCTGCCTGGGCATGATCCCTTGGAAATGGTGCTGCAGTTTGCCCACTTCGCTTCACAAAACAGGCTGGGACCACGAAGACTCCTGCCCAGCCAGAGATTGTGGCGATGATGATTGTATCCTGCCAAAACAAAAGCACTGGGTCAAGAAACCGTGAGGTGTGCTTCACCTCAAGCATATGTCATTCTAGCTACACGAAACGTTGATGCAATCATTTGCAATCTATAGATACAGCAGCTGTGCGTTGTTCTGGTGGCAAGTATGCGCCAAAGTAGGCATCCAACAAATTCAAGAGCCTATGTGAGTGTACAAACTCCATCAACTCATTCTCTTAGATTCCAACTCCGAACTTTGGCAGGAGATCTCAGCCATATCAAACATGATACACCCCGGAAGATTAACATGGAACTTGGGTCTCAAACACACCGGGTGTGACAGCTCAGTGGGTGTGGTCCAATCCCGGTTCTGCCGGATCTGTTCGAGTCCAGGTCCTCCTTTTTGGATGTCTTGTGCTGTGTAGAACATGTCCTTTTTGCACTCAGTGGAATCATCATGGAAATGGAATTCACCACCTGGACCTATTGGTATAATGGTTATCCTTTCGGTCCCATGCCATTCACCTCCATGATAAATGAACGTGTAAATGCATTCATTCTTGTGCATTTGGATGTCCATTTCTCTTAGAAAAACGGTTTGTCGGCAAGCCATGGCAAGCCTAGCTTCAGGGGCCAACGACCAACAGAGTTGAGCCTTTATCCGGGCTCCCCGGCAATGGTGCTTCCGATGATGGCTCGTTCTGCTTCTGAACGAACCCAAATCTCGGCAGGCAGGCATCTGAGGAGAAGGGCCTATCCGAATCCTAGGAATTGGAACTTCCTATCCTGCAGGCGATTGGACCTGAACAACATCACTTGCCAGGAGTTCCAAAAGTCCGAATGCGGCACAGCTCTCGTGCGAACTCCATCCACCGAACTGGGTGGAGTCTAAAAGCCACCGAGCTGCATGCCGAACTCCACGTTACGGGAGAACCGTCCGTGACATATGACCAAACTACTGCCCAGCAGATCAACAGTAGTTCCAACTCACCCTCACCCATCCGACCCGGTCACCGTCCCACACCATCGCCGTGTTTCTCGGGTCGTCCACACCGAGGCAGTGTGCCACGCCGCGTTGGCGGTCATGGACCTGGAGCGGCTTGGGCCCATCATAAGGGGATTGAACAGGAAGCCTTGGTAGGGAAGAGGTGGGATCCCAAGTCTGAACAACTACATGTCCCTTAAATTGGCACCAGGCGCCCAGGTTTTGGTACCCTTTAACATTCTATGGAATTCTTATGTAATAGTATCTAATATCCTTAACAAGGATCCACAGGACTAGGACCCTTGTCAGAGGGCAGGAGTCTCCTGTCATATTGCCGTCTGGAGAGTCCAGCCATCTTCCAAGAAGAATGAACTTCTTCAGTCTGACAGATTTACAGATGCAAACTGAATTTGGTTATCATTGGCTATCATTGCTTCATGCTCATTCCAGGTGGGCTCTGGGAAGCTGCCCCAGAACGCCGACTTTTTGTATTTTTGTAGTTCCTCGGGAGTCTTGGGGACCAGCACAAGTAAGCTATGGCTCGATCAACGACATGCTGATTGAAGCTCCAGTACTTGGGCTAAAGCCTGCCAAAGGCCTGACGAAAGACCCACTACCAAGAATTCTTCAAGGAGGGCAAAGCAATTGCGGTCTGCTGGAGGTCTCTGATGCGTTAGGTGCAATCGACATCCAGAACATGCCGAGCAAATCTCCCGTCCGTAAAGCCCAGTGGATCCAGTTACCACTATTATAGCTGGTAACCAGTGGTTCCAAAGAATACAAGGACAAACCAAACGAAGCCTGGTTCTTTATATATGTTCCTAGATATATAGTGGTAACTGGAATCCACTGGGAAGCACGTGTTTGCCAGATTGATCGACGTCTTTGTAAGGATCCGCCTTTCAACCACACCAGTCAGTCAGCCTTCGCGGTGACCATCAACAGTTCTGTCTCACAGCAGCTAGGATATATACCTTCTCTCATTGCCGTCTTCACAGAAGGCAAACGCAAAGACTCCATCTATAGTCAAGATATGATACCTACTCATAGCAAAATGTACTCACCATACTCACCTATTCCCTATTATATATATATATGTTGGCCTCACATCTTTTCACATCCACTACAGATTCCTTCCCCGTGAAAGGTGCCCTGGGTGCCCCGTGCGCTTGGGCGTTCTTCGCCTCCACGAAGGCATCCCACCGATACATGAACTTCAAACCCTGCACATGCCGAGGGAGCGTGGGATTGACCGCGGCGTGGAGAGAAGACACGTAGAACGAAGGGGGTGTTGGACAGCTGGCGGTGGGAAAAGAACGCGACCGTGTGGGGGAACGGATGGGAGGTGCTGAACAGCGGGATGTGCGGAGCGCCATGCTAAGCCTATCGTTGTGGCGGACGCCCGTGCCACCGTTGTTGAGGAACAAACTTCTTTCGTGAAAGCATGAAGGTCTTGGGAAGGATTCGTATGCGCGTTTGTTATTACCTTCTCCAACTACTACACGTATTCCAACAACCCGTGAATAAATTCAATGGACAACCGTTGTTGTGCCAAGGATTTTACACTATACACAACCAGGTGAACAATTTTGGTCATGGTCTTGGAAGGCTAGGAAAATGTGTTCTTTCACTTTGTGAATACCTTCCGACCCCGTGTTTCTGATACCGACCGACCCCGGAGTTCCAACCGTTCGCCTCACTCGAGGGCACCGTGGCCGGCACCTGGGGAGGCCAGGTACGCTCCGCGCGCGCGATCCCAAAACAGATCAACATGTGAAGCTTTTTGGGAACTTGCATGGATCTATGTGAACTGCCTCGCCGGTTTTCCTGAAAGATAAAGGTCGGT